CTCAACTGGGGAACTCATTGGCTTTCCTTGGGACTATTTACATTCCTCTTATGCTGGGATATATAGTCCCAATGATAGAATAGAATCGTGGATATAGATCGTCCCAAGAGATGCCACCCCCCCCCCAATTGTTGCCCCTCTTTCTCCCCAATTAAGGGGGTCTTTATGCCCTCTTATCCGTCTCCAAGGGGGTCTTTCTGGGACCCATCATCCACAAGGGACTCAAGAGCCCATCATCCACCAATAGCAAAGGGGGGGTCCCTCCCCGCCTTTCCCCCAATGACTCCAGGCCCTGTCTATTTACGCGCGGCAGAACAAAGGCCCCCCTAATCGAGACAAAGCCGGCGACAATGAGCGTGAAGAAAGGGGCTGCGGCGGAAAGAGGGAGGCAATTTATTCTAATTCTACTAATTTCAGTTCCAGCACAATTAAAAAGACTCTGATAATATTCAGAAACAATCGCCGGCTAACAAATCGGGTTCGCTCGCTGTAAATGAAACATCGTTAGGCTAATTTCCCCTTTCACGCCTGCCTGCCTGCCTGCGCGGCTCCCGGTCTGATAAAGTTAACCCGCTCCATCCGGATGGAGCATCCGCACAGCACACACAAAAGACCTATTTTCTATCACACCCACATATATGTGGCATTCTTATAAGTATTGATTTGTTTGACATGCTTGTATTCCATCACCGGTTGTAGTCTGAAGTCAGAAGACCTTGGAAAACTACCACTTCCAGTAGTGCATAGCATTGAGCCGTGGAAGTCGTGCATATACATACATACATACATACATACATACATACATAAACACACATAAACACACCATATGTATACCACATTTGTGCGCACACAATATATTATATATGGTATTCTTATAGGTATTGATTTGTTATACAATCCTGCGTTCTACCACCAGTTGTAGTCTAAAGTCTGAAGACCTTGGAAAACTACAACTACCAGTACTGCATAGCCTTGAGCCGTGTCAGCTCATACACACACACACACATGTACCATACACACACACACATATATACACAGACACCATATATATATACCACATATATACCATATATATACCATATATATATATATATATATATATATATATACACACACACACACACACACACTCTCTCTCTCACTCTCTCTCTCTCTCTCTCTATATATATATATGGTATTCTTATAGGTATTGTTTTGTTTTACATGCCTGCGTTACACCACTGGTTGTAGCCTGAACTCTAAAGACCTTGGAAAACTACAACTCCCAGTACTGTATAGCCTGAGCTGTGGCAGCTCATGCATACACACACACACTCACATACCATATATATACCATATAGATAAACTTATATATATCACACACACACACACATACACACACACATATATATATATAGTCTTGCAGCTCTTCTGTTGTCTGTGGGGGAGTCACCATTGGCCTGGAGAGCCTGGTTTCGGTGGTTCAGTTCACCTTGGAGGAGGTGGGCTTTGCAGATTCTTTTTGCACGGTCTGCCAGGGCTTTAATTGTGCTTATATATCCACAGATATATAAACCACACTTGCTTAGTTTCCAACAGACCTCACAACCTCTGAGGATGCCTGCCATAGATGCAGGTGAAACATCAGGAGAGAATGCTTCTGGAATATGGCCATACAGCCTGGAAAATCTCACAGCAATCCAGTGATTCCGGCCATGAAAGCCTTTGACAATATATTGCAAGTCTTCTCTGCCAAAGAGGATGGGTGCTTCACCAAACTGTAATTCTATAATAATAATAATAATAATAATAATAATAATAATAATAATTATTATTATTATTATTATTAATGCATTAGTATAGTCAATTCATTTTTCATTATTATATTTTTATTATATTACATATTATTAGTAGTATAGTTGTTTCATTATGAATCATTATTGTACCTTATATATTATTATTAGTATAGTTTTGTTTTGCATTATTATTATATATTATATAATAATATAATATATATATATATACTACATATTAGTATATATATATTAGTATAGTCTTTCCTTTCGCATTACTATATTTTATATTATATATTATTTGTATAGTCATTTTATTTTGCATTATTATTTTACCTGTATATTATATTAGTATAGTTGTTTCATTTCGCATTATTATTATACTTCATATTGTGTTATATATTATTAATATAGTCGTTTCATTTTGCATTATTATATATTATATATTACATTATATATTATTATTAGTATAGTCTTTTCATTTTACATTATTATTATATATTATATTATATATTATTATTAATATAGTCGTTTCATTTCGCATTGTTATTATATTTTATATTATATATAATTATTAGTATAGTCATTTCGTTTCATATTATTATTATATATTATATTATATATTATTAGTGGTATATTTATTTAATTATTTATTTACAGTATTTATAGCCCGCCTTTCTCAGCCATACGGTGACTCAAGGCGGGTGACAGATTGGCACAATTCGATGTCAGGCATTCATAAAAGTGCCATTAAAAACAATCAACATTAAAATATAAAACATAAATAAAAAACATCAAAGCATATAATCATCAGTGCCATCTTGTTATAAATGTTATCCAGTAACATCATCTGTCCATTCCATGTTCATCATTCATAGTTCCGTGTTATTCCGATGTTTCGTTTCACATTATTATTATTATATACTAGCGGTCCCCTGCCACGCATTGCTGTGGCCCAGTCTGTTGATCTGGAAAATAAAGTAATGAGGAAGTGTTGGTTTCTAATATATATATATTCTTTATGGTTGTGGGTAAACAGTATTTCTTGCTGTTTCTTTGTCAGTGCTGATGTGGAAATTATCTGGTTTGCCTACTCTGGAACATGTAACGTATCATTGTCCTTCTTTAGGGGTTCCTTTCAAATCTATGGTACTATATCTGTCATAAACGTGTGTGTGTGTGTACGAATCAAATACATTAATCGATATCTGTGGGTGGATGGTTCTTTGTCAGGAGGGCTTTATGTTTTCTTGCTCTGGTGAAGGGAGTTGGACTGGATGGCCTTAAGGCAGCATTTCTCAACCTGAAGTTTGGGACCCCTGGGGGGGGGGTTGTGAGGGGGTGTCAGAAGGGTCACCAAAGACCACAATTTTCTGTATTGTCGAAGGCTTTCATGGCTGGAATCACTAGGTTCTTGTAGGTTTTTTCAGGCTATAGGGCCATGTTCTAGAGGCATTCTCTCCTGACGTTTCGCCTGCATCTATGGCAAGCATCCTCAGAGGTAGTGAGGTCTGTTGGAAATAGGAAAATGGGTTTATATATCTGTGGAATGACTGGGGTGGGGCAAGGAGCTCTTTGCTGAAGCTAGGTGTGAATATTTTAGCTGACCACCTTCATTAGCATTTGAAGGCCTGGCTGAGCCTGGGAAAATGTTCTGTTGAGAGGTGTTAAGATGTGCCTGGTTGTTTCCTCTCTGCTGTTTTGTTGTTGTGATTTTAGAGTTTTTTAATACTGGTAGCCAGATTTTGTTCATTTTCATGGTTCCTCCTTTCTGTTGAAATTGTCCACATGCTTGTGGATTTCAATGGCTTCTCTGTGTAGTCTGACATGGTGGTTGTTGAGAGTGGTCCAGCATTTCTGTGTTCTCAAATAATATTCTGTGTCCAGGTTGGTTCATCAGGTGCTCTGCTATGGCTGACTTCTCTGGTTGAAGTAGTCTGCAGTGCCTTTCATGTTCCTTGATTCGTGTTTGGGCAATGCTGCGTTTGGTGGTCCCTATGTAGACTTGTCCACAGCTGCATGGTATACGGTAGACTCCTGCAGATGTGAGAGGATCCCTCTTGTCCTTTGCTGAACGTAGCATTTGTTGGATTTTCTTGGTGGGTTTGTAGATTGATAAACCCATTTTCCTATTTCCAACATACCTCACTACCTCTGAGGATGCTTGCCATAGATGCAGGCGAAACGTCAGGAGAAATGCCTCTAGAACATGGCCCTATAGCCCGAAAAAACCTACAAACACAGTATTTTCTGTTGGTCATGAGGGTTCTGTTTGGGAAGTTTGCCCCAATTCTGTCATTGGTGGGTTTCAGAATGCTCTTTGATTGTAGGTGAACTATAAATCCCCAGTAACTACAACTCCCAAATGTCAAGGTCTATTTCCCCCAAACTCCACCATTTGGGCATATTGAGTATTTGTGCCAAGTTTGGTCCAGATCCCTCATTGTTTGAGTCCACAGTGCTCTCTAGATGTATGTAAACTACAATTCCAAAACTCAAGGTCAATGCCAACCAAACCCTTCCAGTATTTTCACCTGGTCATGGGAGTTCTGTGTGCCAAGTTTGGTTCAATCCCATCATTGGTGGAGTTCAGAATGGCTCTGATTATAGGTGAACTATAAATCCCAGCAACTACAACTCCCAAATGACAAAATCATAATTTTTTGAGTGATGGTCACTGTGTAGTGAGACCTTTTGTTGCCAAATTTGGTGTGATTTCGTTCATTGGTTCTTTTGTTTTTAAGGAACTCATTATGCACAGAGCATTTATATATATATAGATATATAAAAATAATGTTTTGCATTATTTTTATATATTATTATTAGTTTAGACATTTCATTTCACATGTTTATTGCATATTATATTATATGTATAGTCATTTCATATAATTTTGTATTATTATTTTATTTCTTATCCACCTCACCTCATGGCTCGAGGCGGATTACAGCATAATTAAAACACATAAACATTGCAAAAAACCTATAAATACACATATTAAAATATATTTCTATAAAATACATATTAATTATACACAGAACATCGTGTTGCGCTGTGGCAGTTCAAGTGGGGTCAAAGTGCATTTTACGTTCTTAAACTTTATTTATTTCTTTTCCCTCCTTTAGAGACTATGTGTCGCTAACGTTTTCCAGCTGCATTTTACTGTAAATGAAAATTTCTGCAAAGAATGCAACTCCCCGCTGAATTTTCTGTCTCTTGCTTTTCTTTAGGCACCTTTGGCGAGATGGAGGAAGGAGAGGAGGCGCCCTTGCAGGACAGCGGTAGCAGCCAATTGGAGAAGGAGGGCGGGGCTTCCGACCCGGACGGCGACAGTTCCGCGGAAGGCGATTCGCCCGCTTCACCTTGTAGCGAAAGTGAGCCCCGCCTTTTTTTTTTGCACTGAAAACTCTGCAAAATTATACCGCTATCATTCCCTTTTAACTGCAGTGTTTCCATCCGGGGAGTTGCGGTGACTATATCCAAACTACACATCCCAAATTAAATAGGATAGACAGCCATGGCACTTTAAAGGGGTTGTGATAATGATAGCACTTAACTGAACTACAAATTCCTCAATTCCATACAACGTAGCCGTGGTGTTTGAAGTGCGATGCTGTCGTACTTTGAATTTTCCACCTATAGTGACTCTATCCAAACTACAAATCCCAGGTGGCATAGGATGTAACCCTTGCAGGTAAAAATGCCATTATAGTGCGATAATTCTGTTGTACTTAGAATTTTCCACCTCTAGGAACTCTATCCAAACTACATATCCCATTATTCCGTAAGATGCAGTCACGGCCTAAAGTGGAATGTAAAGCAATGGGAGTTGCAGAACTTAGAACTTCCCACCTCTCATAGCTCTATTCAAACTACAAATCCCAGGATTCCATAGGATGCAGCCACATCTGTGTTATAATAATATTATCATAATTGTATAGTACTTGGAATTTTCCACCTCCACTGCCTCTGATTAAATCCTAGGATTCCATAGGATGCAGACATGACTCCTATAGTGTGTTATAATAATATTATAATAATAATAATTGTATAGTACTTGGAATTCTCCATCCCTGGCGTCCCTGATTAAACTACATATTCCAGGATTCCATGTGATGCACAAATCCCAGGATTCCATAGGATTCAGCCATGACTTAGTAATAATAATAATAATAATAATAATAATAATAATAATATTCTTTGAATTCTCCACTTCCAGTGCCTCTGATTCAACTACAAATCCCAGGATTTCATGACTCCTATAGTGTGTTATAATAATATTATAATTGTATAGTACTTTGAATTCTTCACCTCTCGTAACTCTATCCAAACTACAAATCCCAAGATTCCATAGGGTGCAGCCATTACTGTGCTATAATAATTTTATAATAATTGTATAGTACTTGGAATTCTCCACCTCTTGTGCCTCTGATTAAACTATAAATCCCAGGATTCCATAGGATGCAGACATGACTACTATAGTGTGTTATAGTAATAATATACTTGTATAGTACTTGGAATTCTCCACCTCTCATAACTCTATCCAAACTACAAATCCTAGGATTCCATGGGATGTCGCCCATGACTATTATAGTGTGTTATAATAATATTATAATAATTGTATAGTCCTTGGAATTCTCCACCTCCACTGCTTCTGAGCAAACTACAAAGCCCAGGATTCCATAGGATGCAGCCATGAATATTATAGTGTAATAATAATAATAATAATAATAATAATAATAATAATAGTAATAGTAATAGTTGTATAGTACTTGGAATTTTCCACCTCCACTGCTTCTGAGTAAACTACAAAACCCAGGATTCCATAGGATGCAGCCATGAATATTATAGTGTTATAATAATAATAATAACAATAACAACAACAATAATTGTATAGTACTTGGAATTCTCCACTGCCACTGCTTCTGAGCAAACTACAAAACCCAGGATTCCATAGGATGCAGCCATGAATATTATAGTGTTATAATAATAATAATAATAATAATAATAATAGTAATAGTTGTATAGTACTTGGAATTTTCCACCTCCACTGCTTCTGAGTAAACTACAAAACCCAGGATTCCATAGGATGCAGCCATGAATATTATAGTGTTATAATAATAATAATAATAATGATAATAATAATAATAACAATAACAACAACAATAATTGTATAGTACTTGGAATTCTCCACTGCCACTGCTTCTGAGCAAACTACAAAGCACAGGATTTCATAGGATGCAGCCATGAATATTATAGTGTGTTATTATTATTATTATTATTATTATTATTATTATTTTATAGTACTTGGAATTCTTCACCTCCCATACTTCTGACACAAACTTCTATTCAACCTATAAATCCCGGGATTCCATATTCTATTCAAACTACAAATCCCAGGATTCTATAGGATGCAGCCATAGGGCTTAATAATAGTGCTATCATTCTGCAGTGTGAAAAAGCCTTTGAACTCTTAGATAAAAAAAGACTTGTTTAATTATTCCACCTGTGATGAGGGAAATAGCACTCTGTTTATGCTCAGAGGCACTCTTGGTTCCTTCTGTTGCATTAAAAGCAGACCTTCCAAGAAAATGCCATAAAGGAAATGCTATAATATTTTTGGGGCTCATTGGCGTAGTTTAAAAGGGTAATGAGGTATTAAAAATTTGGAGACCAAAGGAGAAAAAAATGTCCATGGCAATGGGAAGGACTGATGACTATTTATTCCTCTCGTAGCTCAAGATTCAAACTGGGGGCGATGCATAATGCAACCTCCAGCCATATCTTCGCTATCTGTTCTGGGTCACATTTCAGTCAATACGCTCTGCATTCTCTTTCAACAGCCATTTCTAATCTAATTAAAGGCCTGGATTTCTTGCCGCCGAGCTTTGAAAAAGTGCAAAGAGGCAGCAAAGTGAACAAATGCTCACCTAGAGATGCAACATTTCTTTTTTTGTGGCTTTTTAAGAAGTGCAAACCCACGCTTGGAATTGTTAACCTTGCCAAGAAAACCCAACAATAGAGTCATTATACATTGAAAATTACTCAAATAAATACTTTAGGATGATAGTAAATGCAAAACATGGCTATGGAAATGTAGTTACATAATAGGCATCTATCTATCTCCATCAATGTTTAACATTTGCACAAATGACCAACCACTGCCAGAAGGGACAGAGTTTCATCTATGCTGACGATCATGCCATCACTGCTCAAGCAGGGAGCTTTGAAATGGTGGAACAGAAGCTCTCCAAAGCTTTAGTTCTTTTTACTGCCTATTACAGGGAAAACCAGCTGGTTCCTAATCCATCAAAAATGCATGCAAGTGCTTTTCACCTTAAGAACAGGCAAACATCTCGAGTTCTGAGGATGACCTGGGAAGGAATCCAACTGGAGCATTGCAGCACAGCAAAATACCTGGGAGTTACCCTGGACCTTTCTCTGACTTATAAGAAGCACTGCTTGAATATCAAGCAAAAAGTGGGTGCTAGAAATGATAAAGTATGAAAGCTGACTGACACAGCCTGGGGATCACAACCAGACACAGTGAAGACACTTTATTTTTATTTTTTTATTTGCTACATTTATATACCGCCCCTCTCAGCACACAGGCAACCCAGAGCGGTTTACAGTCAATATCAAAGACATAAAATACAATTTAAAAACAATCAATTTAAATATAAAACCCATATCAATAAAAACATATCTCAGTTTGAGTCTCCTAGTTAAAAGCATTATCCAATAACATCGTCGAGTTGTTCCGTTTATCTCCATGTCTGTTATATTGTGTCTGCAAACGCTTGCTCAAAGAGCCACGCCTTGACCTGTTTTCGAAATGTTAAGAGGAAAGGGGCCGACCTAATATCACAAGGGAGGCCATTCCATAGACGAGGGGCCACTACTGAGAAGGCCCTGTCTCTCGTCCCTGCCAACCGTACTTGTGATGAAGGCGGGATCGAGAGCAGGGCCTCCCCAGATGATCTTAAAGTCCTGGAGGGTCCTCGTCTATGGAATGGCCTTCCTTGTGATATTAGATCGGCCCCTTCCCTCTTAACATTTCGAAAACAGGTCAAGGCGTGGCTTGAGGAATTCGGACAGGTAAGTTGGGCCAGAACCGTTTAAGGCTTTAGCACTTTGAATTGCGCCTGGTAGCAGACTGGCAGCCAGTGGAGCTGGCGCAACAGGGGAGTTGTGTGCTCCCTGTGTGCCGCTCCCGTTAGCAACATGGCTGCCGCTCGCTGGACCATCTGGAGCTTCCCTTGCACTTGCCCTTGCACTTTGCTACCTTGCTGCTGAATACGCATGCCCAGTGTGGAGCACATCTCACCATGTTAAAACATTGGATGTGGCTCTGAATGAGACATGCTGCATTATCGGAGAATGTCTATGCCTTACTTCGCTGGAGAAATTATACTGTTTAACTGGTATTGCACCACTTGATATCTGCCAGGAAGCAGCAGCCAATAATAAAAGGACCAAGGCAGTGACATCTCCGGCCCATCCTCTGTTTGGATATCAACCACTATGTCAAAGGCTTAAATCAAGAAACAGTTTCCTAAGATCTGCAGAGATGCTCGCAGGAATACCTCAGCAAGTGAGAGTCCAAAAGTGGCAGGCTAAAACCCAGCACTTTAATCAGTGGCTGAGATGAGAAATTCCCTCTTGGGCATACAGAAGATTGGAAAACCTGGAAGGCGCTGAACAGGCTGCGCTCTGGCACTATGAGATGCAGAACCAACCTTAAGAAATGGGGTCACAAAGTGGAGTCCAAAACATGCGAGTGTGGAGAAGAGCAAACCACAGACCACCTAATATACGGCTCCGGTCCAGCATATCTGTCTGAATGTATCTCCTTCTACGTCCCACCTCGGAGTTTAAGATCTTCTGGGGAGGCCCTGCCTCTGTTTCAAACACACTTGGTGGGGATGAGGGACAGGGCCTTCTCAGTAGTGCCCCCCCCCCTTGCCTGTGGAATTCACTCCTCAGGGAAATTAGGTCATTGTCATCCCTCCTCACCTTTAGAAAGAAGGTAAAAATGTGGATATGGGACCAGGCCTTTAAGTTATTAGGCGGAAATAACAATGACAATGTTGGCAATGGTTTGAAAATGGATTATGGATAAGTTAAATGGAGTACTCAATCGTAGAATTTGGCTAGATAATGGCAATTAGACTGGTAATAGTTAAGTAGACTGTAAGTATATTGTTTTAAGGTTTTTAACTATTATAATTATGTATTTTAACTGTACCCTCAACTTGCTTCTGACATGATAAATAAATAAATACATTTGTCAGAAATGTCTTGAAAGCAATTTTGGGGTGACACCATGGAGATAAATAGCTATGGAGATGTAGTTTCATGCCAGGCAACTGAC